TCAATCAATCGTTACATTAATCAGTCAGTCAATTAGTCAATCACTCGATCGATTGATTAATCATTCATTCAACCAATCAATAAATCATTCGAGCAATCACTCAGTTAATAAATCAATCAAACACTCAATCAATTAACCAATCAATCAATTAACCAATCAATCAATCAATCAATCAATTTAAAAATCAAACAACCACTCACTCACTCAATCAATTAATGAATCAAACACTCAATAAACCAATCAACCAACCAATCAATCAATCAATCAATCAACCAACCAATCAACCAATCAATCAATCAATCAATCAATCAATCAATCAATCAATCAATCAATCAATCAACCAACCAATCAATCAACCACTCTATTAATCAAAATGGTGAAAACTTGCGGTAAACTAGAACAATCAATTAATCATCCAATCAATCAATCAATCAATCAATCAATCAATCAATCAATCAATCAATCAATCATCCAATCAATCAATCAATCAATCAATCAATCAATCAATCAATCAATCAATCAACCAATTAATCAATCAATCAACCAATCAACCAGGTTTCTTACCTTGGTAATGTTTCTGATAAAGTCCTGACAGGAGACTTAACTGGTGAGCGTGCATCCCCCTGACAAATAACAATAACTTAGCTAAGTGTTATTCCTTCATTTTTTTCCGAATTGCATCTCCACAGTACATACCCCTGGACTAAGGTTTGTAAGGCACATATTCAAACAAGCCAGTAATGTACCAAAGGAAAGAGGTTCCTCATGATCAATAGCAGGGGAACTAAATCCTAACGTAGCTAGGGGCACATACTCATCTATGTCCATTCCCTAGGAGATAAACAAATTTGAATTTAAAGTCTGATCGTTTACAAAGTGTCTGTGGAGGAGGCCTAAGCCCTGTGTGTTTTACCTCATCGAGTAGAATTTCACAGATGTCTGGAGTAAACTGCCGTAACATCGCTAACGAGTTGCATAAGATCTTTAACAGTCTGAAAACAATGGAATAGTTGTATAAATTGATCTTTAATTTTTTGAAAACACACTTAAAACAGCCATTGCTAACCATCTTGCATCGGGTAAGTGGCTTGCTTTTTTCACATACGAGATTTCGGTCATTAACTTCCATGACCAACTCTTACTCGGATTCAAACTCGTAGAGAGAGCGGATTCTTTCTTCTTCTCACAGAATACATTGGTTGTCATGCAAACACAATGCGATGTCAGCTTACTTTGATTGAGTCGTCGACACCACCGGATTATTCCTAAACGATTCTTCATCGGCATACGAGTACGTCCTTAGTAGTTCGCGCGCTGAGAATGAACTACTCAGAGTTTGACTTAAATCAGCCAATGGTTGGGATCCCTTTTGTAGAGGATTTCCAGTAGACATCTAAAGTGAATAGAATGGAACAGAAAAAATGAAAGAAACAAAACAGAAGAGAAGAGAACTCAGAGAACAGAGAATAATAGAAGAGAAGAGATGAGAGGAGAAAAGAAGAGACGAGAAGAGAAGAAAAGAGAACAGAACAGAAGAGAGCAGAGCAGAGCAGAACAGAACGGAAGAGAACAGAAGAGAACAGAAGAGAACAGAAGAGAAGAGAACAGAACAGAAGAGAACAGAAGAGAACAGAACAGAACAGAAGAGAAGAGAACAGAACAGAAGAGAAGAGAACAGAA